TTGGATGGTTCCTTTCAAACTTAGCTAAACACCAATTTAAGAAAAGTGTGGTAAAGATCAAGGAAGGGTCAAAGTCAAAAAGTTGATGCAGTTGCATAGCTCTCATCGGTATATGTAAGTGATATGTGAAGTTTGATTAAACCACCTTGAACAGCATGTTTAAAACTAACAAAACACTAATTTAAGAAAAGTGAGGTCAAGGTCAAAGGAAAAGTCAAGGTCTAAAATGTTGATGCAATTGAAAAGCTCCCATTATTATGTATCAGTACATGAAGTTTGAAAAAATTATTTGGATTGTTTTTTTTAAACAGAGCTAAACTATAATTTAAGAAAAGTGTGGTCAAGGTCAAAGAAGAGGTTAAGGTCAAATAAGTTGATGCAGTTTCATAGCTCTCATCAGTATGTATCAACATGTAAAGTTTTATAACACCATCTTGAGAGGTTTCTTTAAAACTGAGCTAAACACTCATATAAGAAAAGTGAGGTCAATGTAAAAAAAAAGGTAAAAATAAATGTTGATGCAGTTGCACAGCTCTCATTAAGATCTATCAGCATACGAAGTTTGATGAAAATCTTGGATAGTTACTTTAAAACTGAGCTTCGAACTGAGCTAAACCCGAAATAAGAGTCAGATCAAAAAGTAAAATATGAGGTGCACAGTAGCATTATGTAATGAATCTGTGTAAGTATAATTAAAGAACTGCGAACGTTAGTATTGTTCTCCTGCCTACCTCCAAGTCAGTTTTCAAAAGTTTGGATATTTGAATTAATAACACCAAAGCCTTTTTTGCTTCAAGGGGGAGGGGGGCATATGTTTATAGACAAAAACAACATCAATGCTTATTTTTTCAGCAATTTCAAAGTGCCTAAGAACTGAAACATTGTATTCTTACTAATATATATGCTTCCTTATGTATACATAAAACAAATGAAAAGATTTCAGATACATTTATTTATATCCAAGACTATTTCAGAATATGGTGATGCTCTTTAACCCGATTTCAGTGAAAAATATCGCATACCCCCTTAATTTCAAGAATTGGAACTAGTATGATTTACTTTTTTACCGAGGTGTTAAATAAACGATCAATTATCATTGAACTTTTCTTTGTATTATACAAATATTTTATGGCCAAATGTCATCAATATTGAATTAAATGGTTTTAAAATGTAAGCAGAAATCAAAAGTTAGCGTTCGTAGTTCTTTTATTCAGTGGTATAGGAGGAGTTGCGGATAACAGATGGGTACTCTATAGAAAAATGGCACTGTCAATGGTTTGCCTTGGATAACCACAAATATGTGTCCAATCAAAAAGTTAAATAGGAGGCCACAATGGCAATATATAACAAAAATTCTGTGAAAGTCTCATTAAATATCATTAGAACAATTGGGCCAATTTTAGTCAAACTTGGTAGACAGCATCCTTGTTTAAAGGAACTTTAAATTATTAAATTAAATGCCAGGTTCCCTTGCAAGTAGGGATCATCACGAAAAGGCAAGAATAGGGTTCTGGAGACTCTAACCGAAGGTCAGATTAGGGGATCAAAATTTGCATTCAAATATATGTGAAAATCCTTTAAATTCTTCTCACGAACGTCAGGGTCAGATAAACTAAAACTTAAATGCAAGCATCTTATGGTAGATTATCTAAATATTACCCATGGTGGTAGGGGTTTGGTAATAACAAGCTTAAGAAGGGGTGAGGAACAGCATGGTTAAAATAACTCAGTTGCGTCATATAAAACTTGTACCAAACCCTAAAAATATCAGAAGCAGGGTTAGGAACTTCGATGTCCCACAGCCCAATGTTTATTCATATACATGTAGAATTATATAGTAGGGCTGGAGGGTCATATCTCGGAAACTAGAGATGGTACCATCACCAATTTTTTCAAGGAAGTGGAAACTATCCCCTAGTACCCCATCCACAAAATTTCAGACCCCGGGGTAGGGGACTTTGACGTTCCCCAGCCCGATGTTTATTCGTATAGTATTATATAGTAGGGCTAAAAATTAGAGGGCCATATCTCGGAAACTAGAGATGATACCATCACCATTTTTTCACAGAAGTGTTAACTTATCCCTAGTACCCCATCCACAAAATTTCAGATCCTGGGGTAGGGGACTTCGATGTCCCACAGCCCGATGTTTATTTGTATAGTATTACATAGTAGGGCTAAAAAAAGGAGGGCCATATCTCGGAAACTAGAGATGGTACCATCACCATTTTTTCACAGAAGTGGTAACTGATCCCTATTACCCCATCCACAAAATTTCAAATCCCGGGGTAGGGGACTTCGATGTTCCCCAGCCCGATGTTTATTCGTATGGTATTATATTGTAGGGCTAAAAACTGGAGGACACTATCTCGGAAACTAGAGATGGTACCATCACCATTTTTTCACAGAAGTGGTAACTGATCCCTAGTACCCCGTCCACAAATTTTCAGATCCCGTGGTCTGGAACTTCGATGTTCCCCAACCCGATGGTTATTCGTATAGTATTAAATAGTAGGGCTAAAAACCGGAGGGCCATATCTCGGAAACTAGAGATGGTACCATCACCAATTTTTCACAGAAGTAGTAACTGACCCCCGGTACTCCACCAACAAAATTTCAGGCCCCGGGGTAGGAGACTTCGATGTTTCCCAACCCGATGTTTATTCGTATAGTATTAAATAGTAGGGCTAAAAACCGGAGGGCCATATCTCGGAAACTAGAGATGGTACCATCACCATTTTTTCACAGAAGTGGTAACTGACCCCTAGTACCCCACCCACAAAATTTCAGACCACACAGCTTATGTTTAAATTTTGAATTGCGAACTGCGTTCTAGAACGCAATTCACTTTTGAAATGCGAATAGCGAACTGCGAACTGCGTTCTAAAATCTTAATGCCCATCAACCGTAACCATAAGCCTATATATAATGAACGATGAAGAAAATCATTATTATTTATTTCTGAATTCTGATCAATGTTGAATTTCACCATGAGATCTTTAATTTGTTCTATTATTTTTGGTAAGTCTGATAATAGAGATCATATTAATCTGCAATTTATCTTTTCAAGCTTACTTACTTTCCATGATATCTTTTTCAAATTACTTGAAAGGTAAGGAAAATTCAGATAATGATTGCTAACACTGATAAATGGATACGAGTGTCTAAAACCCATTTTAAAAATCCCTTACTTTCATTTAGCACTTATTCGTAAGTCTATCTTTAAGTGTTGTATGTTTTAAATATTCATTCAGTGTATTTAAATCTATCTGTTTATCTTCTTGCCCCATTCCTCTCTAGTATGCAATGTTTATCTTTTTGGCCGAATTCCTGTCTATAAATTGCTTATATTCTTGCCCAAACCCCTCTATACATTGTCTTCTTGACCCGTCCTCCTCAATACATTATATATCTTCTTGGCCCCAACCCTTTCTATACATTGTTTAACTTCATCATCCACGCATTTCTATACATTGTTTAACTTCTTGATCCACGCCTCTCTATACATAGTTTATCTTCTTGACCCGCCCCCTCTATATATTGTTTATCTTCTTGTCCAACCCCTCTCTGTGCATTGTTTGTGTTCTTGGTCCACCCCTGTATACATTATTTGTCTTCCTGACTCGCCCCTCTCTATGTATTGTTTGTCTTCTTGACCCACCCTTCTCTCTACATAGTTTGTCTTATTGACCCTCCCCAGTCTACGTATTGTTTATAGTCTCTCATAGCTAATGGCCTCTCTATAAATTGTTTGTCTTCATGAACCGTCCCCCTCTATACATTGTTTGTCTTCTTGACCCACCCCCCTCTATACATTGTTTATCTTCTTGACCCACCCCCTTCTATACATTGTTTATCTTCTTGACCCACCCCCTTCTATACATTGTTTATCTTCTTGGTCCCGCCCCTCTCTATACATTGTTTATCTTCTTTGTCCCGCCCCTCTCTATACATTGTTTATCTTCTTTGTCCCGCCCCTCTCTATACATTGTTTATCTTCTTGACCTGCACCCTTTCTATACATTGTTTATCTTTTTGCCCCAACCCCCTATACATTGTTTGTCTTCATGTTCCGCCCCTCTCTATACATTGTTTATTTTCTTGAACAACCCCTCTATACATTGTTAATCTTTTTGCCCCTACCACTCTATACATTGTTTGTCTTCTTGACCTATCCCTCTCTAAAATTTTGTTTATTTTCTTGATCCACCCCTCTCAATACATAATGGTTCTATATTTTCTTGACCCGCCCCTTCTATACATTGTTTATTTTCTTGATCCGCCCTTTTTCTCTGCATTATTTATTTTCTTGACACGACCCTCTCTATACATTGTTTATCTTCTAGACCCGTCCTCCCTATGTATTGTTTATGTCCTTGACCCGCCGATCTTTATACATCGTTTATCGTGTTGATCAGCCGATCATTATACACTGTTTATTTTCTTGACCCGCCTCTCTCTATACATTGTCGGCTCAGAGTTTTGTCTCCTCACATTTTTCGCCCTATGCAATTGTTAGATTCTGCTTTTTATTTTTGCTTACCACTTGATTGAGATTGCATTGGATTTCCTGTGCTTTAATGGCTGGATTGAAAGCCATGATAGGATTATAATGTATCATCAAAAAATACGAAAAAAAAAATGAAAATATTTAATGGTACGACATATTCAAAATTTAAAAAAAGAAATTGAAAGTTTCTCTTTCATAAAATGTAAAAATCTTTTTCTCGAAATAGATCATGAGTCATATTGTTCAAAGGCACGCTAATTTGTTTGTGCCTTTTGCAAACAAATGGGTTGCAAAAAGTTCCTTTTTAAAATTATTTTCCTCTTTCTATACTTTTATTTATTGATACATGAAAGAAACTGATCGAATTAAATGGAAATTGAAAAAGAAAGTATACCAATTCTTACATGTATCACTCTTTCCTCGTTTTTAACAGATGATGTCATGATTATTCACACATCACATACAAAATGCTTTTCTAAATCATTTAGGGGTAGCATATGAGAGCTGTAACCAGAAATGCACAGGTTCTCCTTGAATGTACAATGGGAAGCGATGTGCCTCCACAACACCTTATGCTGAGTACCACAAGGGGGCGTGTGGGTGCGGCCACGGAGGCAGCCAGTTTGGCTGGAACCATGACCACTTCGTCACCGCCCCTAATCAGATGTTCTTTGATGAAGGATACGGCAGAAGGTGTGGTCAGAGGTGTGGGAAATTCGTCAAACTTACAAACACAGGTAAATGCGTCAAAATTGCAAATAAAGGTAAATGCGTCAAAATGGCAAACACAGGTAAATGCGTCAAGAGGACAAACACAGGTAAATGCGTCAAAATGACAAACACAGGTAAATTCGTCAAAATGACAAAGTCAACTAATTGGGTCAAAATGACAAACACAGGTAAATGTATCAAACTGATAACCACACGTTTAACAACCATATAGTAATTTAAAATCAAAACTGAAATCACAGGTACTCAGGTCAAAACGACAAACACAAGTAAATGCGTCAAACTTTAAACCACAAGTAAATATGTCAAGCAGACCGCTTATGAAAAGGGTGCTTGAAAACTGCACCATAATTAAGACAGTGAATAGACTATCATAGGTAAGTTATCAAAATTACCTTCCGAAACTTTTTTTCGTTTAATTCAATCTGTTTTCATAATTTCGTGTGCATTTGGGGAATTTAACACCTGACATCAATATAAAAGCAGTCAGTTCCGTTAAAATGTAAATTTCCTCCACTTTTATTTAACGAGGCTCTTTAGAGGCGGATCAAACTCTAAATAAGGGAATGTATTTTATTTTTACAGGGGGCTGGGTGCCCGGCCAGGGAGGACCAGGTCCTTCAGGACAATCTCAGGTGTTCATGGTAACCAACCTGTGTCTGAATGTTTACCCCAACCAGAACTGGTGTAACCAGGGAACTTGTCCTTATGGTAACAAACACAAAGACTACGGATATGTGGCCCATTTCGACTAGGAAAATGGCGCCAATCAAATTTCAAATTTTGGTTGGAACAACCCGGAAGTGACGTGGGAGATTGTGTTATGTACTGGATATAACACCCTCAGCGACAGCATGTATAACTCATGCATTGGCGTCGGAAGCAAATTGAAAGGGGGGGGGGGGGCTAAGTGTAATAAAAAAAAAATTACCTTCTCAAAAAAAATACAAGCAAAAAAAAAAAAAAAAAAAAAAAAAGGGAAATGTCCATATCCAACCAAACGTGAAAGTCCTATTTCGTGGGGGGGGGGGGGGGGGGGGGGGGGGGGGGGTAGGATCAAGCTTCACTACCAGAAATTTTTTCCAAACTCCACCTTTTTCCCCATTTTTACCTATACTGCGACATGTTTGAAAGTGGGGGAGCTAAACCTACGAAAAAATGTTCAATGTCTATACTAAGTGTATATTTGGAAAAAATTGGGGGGGGGGGCTAAGTCTACACTAGGTATATATTTGGAAAAAAGTGGGGGGGCTAATCCCCCCCTAGCCCCCCCCCCCCGGTTCCGACGCCTATGTCATGTGAGTGTGCACATCACGGTAAACGCTCTCTAAATGGAACAGCCAATGAAAGTGAAAACTAATCCACAGTGATCAAATTTGTTTTAAGTTATTTGATTTAGAGATTAAATCTGAAAAAAAATTGTATAGACGTTTTACGTGCACTTTATCGACAAATATAAAACTTGTCTAATCTGGGTACAAATGGTTCCAAAGATAAGAAAATTTCACAGATAAGATAACATTTTAAACAAATAAATTTACTGTAATGGTCTTAAAGATAACAACGTATTAAGGAAAATTTCGGATAACACGAAAACTGGATTAGACAAGTTTCACGAAATTTATTCCCTTATTTGGTTTCTATCAAAATTGTTTGAATTTGAAACAGTCAAGCTTGGTTTTAGAAGTCACGGTGGCCCAGCGGTAGAGCAATAATTTCGTAATGGATAGGCCAAGGTTCGATTTCCCTTAGCCGTGTCTCACAACCAAATATACCAAACATAGTTAGTGAGTGTTCCTTCGCTAAGCATCGGCAGCATGAGATGTGAAAGTCACGGGTCCTTCGGATGAGCTCTAATAAAAACCAGGGTCCCGTGTCATAATAGGCTTTGTCACAATACAAAAAAAAACATATGTGGTCAATGGCCTGAATTTGATGTTCTTAATGGGTATAGAGTATCGTAGGGGCATGCGCATAATCTCATTGTGGGACGTGGAGAAAATTTCTGAAATGTGTAATTAATTATATACTGCATAAATACCAGTATTTTTGTATCAGGATAACAAGACAGATTGCAAAATGAAGAAAATCATGATATATATTAGAATACAAATATAATTGCACATGTTTGAACATCCCCCTATACCAATGAAGGACTTCAAATTTAGACCCCACGTGTTCATTAGTACTATATAGAAGATTGATTGATTGTATACTGTTTAACGTCCCTCTTGAGAATTTTTCTCTCATATGGAGACGTCACCGTATGCCGATGAAGGGCTTCAAATTTAGACCTATACTCGGCACTCAGGGCCATTGAGCAGTGAGGGTTCTTTATCGTGCCAGCGCCTACCGTGACACGGGACCTACGCTTTTAAGGTCATATCCGAAAGACCCGTGACTTTCACTTCTGATGCCGAGCGCTTGGCGAAGGAACAGTCGCTACCTATTTTTACGTCTTAGGTTTGACGCGGCGCCGGGAACGAGAATCGAACCCGGGCCTCCCGATCACGAAGCGAACGCTCTACCACTAGGCTACCGTGAACGGTACTATATAGAGGAAAGAGAAAGAGGAATTAAGAACAATGGAGACGGAGGATGTAGGCACTATTAACTTTGTTTATGATTAAAAAAAGTTTTGAAACAACATCTGTTGGAAATGAAGAGGGTATATTTCAACTAAAATATGGTTGAAGAATGAAGAAGACTGACCTCTTATTATCAATTATGTTACTAATGTTCACAGCGCATCTATTCCTTTGTTTGGGAAAGAATTTATGGTTTTTTTTGTTTTTTTTTTTTTGTCAAGAATTTTCTGTGTTGGAAGTTATTTTTGACTGGGGTACCATCCCCTCCCCCCATGAAAAAATTTCTGCATCCGCGCCTGTTACCTGTCAGCCATTTTTATGAAGGTCTATTGCAAAGGTTCAACATGACATACGAAGCTGAATACGGCTAATTTATTAGAAGAAATTGTATACAATTGCCTGAATGCACGATGCATTGTGATAACATTAACGCGACAATTTTACATTTACATACAAGATTATACAAGGTTATAATAGTTATTTTTCTATATTGCTGATGCCTTGAAAATTGCAATTTGCAATACTATTTGAAATCTTAAAAACAATTTTTCAAGTTTAAAATTTAAGAAAAAGGTATGAAAAGTTTAACGTGGGGAAAATACTTTAATACATTGGCATATTATAATACAGTGGACCCTCATATATCCGGACGCCAGATATCCGGAATCCGATGTTTCAGTATCCGGACGGGTTTTCTTTGAAACAGAATTTCGTTTGTTATTGCAGCTCGGAGGACCGGGCTGCTCTATACGTATATGTTTAAGTGTTGGTGTATGGGGTTTGGGGTGGGAGAAGTTATTTAGAATTAAAGGTTTTCGAAACATTGAAAAGATTGTTAATCAGAAAGTTTTTTTTTTCATTTATAAATTACGAGATACATATTATATTTACTAAAATAAAGTGAGTCTGTAAAAATATATATGTTTTTCATATTTAATTTGTAAAGTAAAATCATTTTCTATCGAAACAAGAGGCCCAGGGGCCACATCGCTCACCTGAGCAATTGGCTAGGAAAAAACACACATCAAATCAGAACTAAAAGTTTACTGAGGGGGGGTCTTGAATTTTAACCCCCCAGGGGGTCATTATTTGAACAAACTTGAATCTACACTACCTGAGGATGATTCCCTATAAATATCACTAAGCATGGCTTTAAAGTACTTGAAAAGAAAATGTTTAAAGGTTTCCCTAGATATTCCAATGTAAAACTTTTATCCGCCATTTGGCCCCACTCTACTGCCAGGGGTCATGATTTGAACAAACTTAAATCTACACTACCTGGGGATGATTCCACATGAGTTTCATCTTTCATGGTCCAGTGGTTCTTGAGAAGAAGATTTTTAAAATTTTTTCCTATATATTCCTACGTAAAAATTTGTTCGGCCATTTTGGCCCCACCCTACCCCAAGAGGATCATGATTTGAACAATTTTGAATCTACACTACCTGAAGAGGATTTCACATGAGTTTCATCTTTCATGGTCCAATCTTGAGAAGATTTTTAAAGAATTTTCCTACATATTCCTATGTTAAACCTTGATTAGCCATTTTGGCCTCACCCTACCCCTTGGGGTCATGATTTGAAGAAACTTGAATCTACACTACTTGAGGATGATTCCATATGAGTTTCACCTTTCCTGACCCAGTGGTTCTTGAAAAGAAGATTTTTAAAGATTTTTCCTATATATTCCTATGTAAAAATTTGATCGGCCATTTTGGCCCCACCCTACCCCTGGGGGTCATGATTTGAACAAACTTGAATCTACACTACATGAGGATGATTCCACATGAGTTTCATCTTTCCGGGACCAGTGGTTCTTGAGAAGAAGATTTTTTAAAAATGTCATTAATTTTTCTCTAATTCATAATTATCTCCCCTTGGAAAAGGGCGTGGCCCTTTATTTGAACAAACTTGAACCCCCTTTACCCAAGGATACTTTGTAGCAAGTTTGGTTGAAATTGGTCCAGTGGTTCTTGAGAAGAAGATGAAAATGTGAAAAGTTTACAACGACAACAACGACAACGCCAACGACGACAACGACGACGACGACAACGACAGACAACGGACAAATTTTGATCAGAAAAGCTCACTTGAGCCTTTGGCTCAGGTGAGCTAAAAATGACAGATCCCTTTTTTTAGACCATTGAATTTTACTTCTCGCATAAAAACGTACCCTAGATCTGCACAGTTCGTGTTTATATACTAAAATTGAAAATAGATACATTCTTTAATATAGGTGATGCATATGTCTAACTTCAATTTATATTTTATGCAGCCAACATTTACTCAAGTTTAAAATGGTATCATTTTTGTTTGATTTTTATCCGACTATAAGTTATCAAAATATTTGCGACTATCGTCTCCATCAATTAGACGCATGCCTTTTAAAAGAAATAGAAGCGGTTCGATGATAAAGACTCATTTTAATTGTTTACTTTATATATTTCCCGGGCGACAATTGATGGTTAAATCAATGTTTTCTTGTTTATTCTTGTTTAACTGGTAAATCTGATATCCGGACGCTTCACATATCCGGACAAATTGACTAAGACCAAAGCGTCCGGTTAAATGAGGCTCCACTGTATATTGTAGAGGAATCTGTTGATTGAGTTATATATACAGGGAGTTGGGATACATGTGTTGGACAAAATGACACTTGCAGGATATTCGTTCTATTTAGTGGATTTATATCAGCCCAGTAACTGATTTTTGTAAATGTCATTAAAAATAATGTTCATTTTTATTATTGTGTAATGAGAAAAAATAGCAAAATATAATTTAAAGAGAAATTCGAGGTGTTTTCCGCTTAACATAATGACGGAGTTTGGGTAATCAGGGATAACTACAGCTCAGTTTTTATATATCAAATTAGTTATAAAAGGCCTTTGTCGTGTTCATTGCTCACTTTTTGCTTTCACTGATTTTCATTGGGGTTCTCCTAATGTTAAGTTTTTGTATATGCCAGTAACTTTGGGATAAGTTGGAAGCCGTCACCTCGATCAGTACTTCGAGTACTTTGAAATGTCACTTTTGCCGGAGTTTGTTCCTTTAAAAATTGAGATCCTTATTCACAAAATTGCGTAACTGTGTTTTAGCAAAATATTTCGTCATACACGCACTATCTGTGATCATTGTGGATAGTATTGCGGAAATAACTTTAAATGTAAAAGTATTGTGAAGCTTGTGTATAAAATATCCATGCCAGGTTCCAAGAAAGATCACGTTAAAAAAATTAGCTCTCATTACTTACAACTAAGTTATCTGAAGACTCTGATCATGCATAATAAAAACAAAAAATTGATGGATTGAAATTGTAGTTTGATATTCATTTTCAATCCACCGGAGCTCTTTTCAATAGCAGATTGTGAATGTATGATCCAGAAGACAAGTATTTTCCATTCCCAGATATATGTTCGTTGAAATTAATATTGATATGAATTTATAACCTATAACATAATCTTAAGGACATTGGTAAAAGTCATGGAAGACATTTATTATTTTTTCAAGAGACGGCCATTTAGTTCTAGAAAGGGTGGTGTCAAAAATTCGACGCGGACGGCCGAGAAAACATGCTATATGCCAAATTTCGTGCAGTGGGTTCAGAGAAAGGCTTAGAATGTTAAAGTTTACGACCGACGAACGTTGATTTATAAAAACATATAGCCATAGGTCATCTGATTTACTCCGTTGACTTAAAAAAGCGAGCATCTCCCTCCGGCCGGTCACATCCGCCGTGAGCTCCTGGTCATGGTCGTGAAAAAACCCTGAAAAATCCTTTAAATAATTGTTCATTGCGTAAATAACGGGATTACAATAAGTATCAAAATCAAAGGTCAGCATTTGTCTAAATGTGTTGACAATATCCTTATATTTACTCGAAACTTAAAATTAAAAGATGAATTCAATGGAAACTGTTGATTAATACACATATATTATTACATATTTATAACTCTCTTTGTATTGACATAGTCTTTCTGAAGCTAGCAATTGGACAATTAGCACCATGCAGTTTATTGCATTATTGCATTATACAAACTCTAGAGGTAGGAATAGACTGTACATCGATTTTGTACAGAGTTTTGTCGCAAAATATTTAGTCGCGCTTTGTAGCTTGGTTTCTTTAAAATGTTTACTGAATAAAATGAAAAATCCCATATTTGAAACAGTCATATCCAATGAAATATGAAGAAACAGAAACAGAATATTTTTTTCATATTTCACGAAGGAAATGCATCCAGATTGCTTAAAGTCTCTCAAAAATGGTAAATAATATGTGTTCTTGGCCACATCTTTAAAATGATATCAAAATTAATATAGGTATCGCAGTTACACGTGCACTTTTATATGAATTCAAATGGAATTCCACGAAAATACCCGTTTCTACATATTTCTGCTAATACGGGGGAAAAAGTTATTATTGATTATGACGTCATAATAGATTAAGCTCCACAAAATTAGTCAAAATTTATTTACTAGATCTTGACCTCAATATAAGTAGCCTTAAGAATTCCTGCTCTGACTTTACATATCGTGATTAAGCGTTTTGCATAGTTATAGTTTTTTTTTCATTTTCCTCTTTTAAAGTGCAGTCTTTTAAAGAGTTGGATTGGGGATGTCATCCCCACCCCCTAATCCAACCCAACTCTCTTTCAAAACCTAGAATTATTGTGAGCAAGCTAATAAAATGATACAAACCCTCCTGCTATTGCATTAAATGTTTTTATTACAAAAAAGGTCCAAATATTAATTTAAAACCTTTTTAAAACTTTGCTTTTGTAGCTATACATACCCATATGACTATGACATATACTCAAGTCATAGGTAGTAAAATCGATGTGTTGAGCACAAACTTCCAATTTCTCTTCATTCGAAGTTAATTATGTAAATGTGCCAAACTCATATAGTACACTTTTACTGCAATGACCTTGAAAAAGCTATGTCCTTGAGTCAAGGTCAAACATGTCCAAATGAACTTTGGTCAAGGTCATGACAAATCTACAGCTCAAAAATAATCCCTGAGATGAAACTTCAAGTCTTTTCATTAGAATATTACAGAATGGGCAAAGATTGCACTATTCTTCCACCAATGACCTTGAACTTGTTCAAATGACCTTGGGTCAAGTTTTGGACACATCTCTGAGTCATAAGCAATCGTAATATCAAGTTTATTAAATTTTCAGTGGCACTTCATTGAAATGTTATGGACAAGTCAAAATTTTACATACATATGGATGGGTGAACAAGGTGATTCCTATACCCACTCCCTTTCCAAATTTCATTTGTGAGGAATATAAAATTCCTTTTGAAATTGAATGTGTATTTATTTTTCAACAATAAAAAAATGAGTACGCTTTGATCAGAACCAATATGACCAATATAATGGACACTGTACATGTATTTATTTTACCCCCAGCCCTTCAAAAAAGCTTATAAATGCCAGATTGTCACACATTCTAACCATTTGTAACTCTTTTCTACTAAAGTTGCCTGCAAATTTTATTGTATTGATATGACATATAGATAACCCCTAACAAGATCACAGCATTCATTTTTCCAGCAGTGGTTGTAGATTTTGCGTATAGAGTGATAAACATATACATGTAATTTTTTCAAAATTAATAAGCATTGACGCCATGTTCTTTTCCCGTTTTCATGTCAACAATATCACTACATATATTTTGTTTTTCCTATTTTTGGAGAATAAAGTAATTCCGTCTTTCAATAAATATTAAAGGTAACCAAAATACCTTATCTTATCACGTTCACAAAACACATTCATAGAAAATGGCTAAAAATCATTGATTTTCATAAGGATTTATGAACCCGTTGCTAAGGAAATGAATTTCCTTGGATACCAGTCCCTTCATACGTTCAAAAATAATTTTGTGTTTTGGCATGAGGTAGGACAAAATCTTTTATACACATAAAGCTTTTGAAAAAATAAAATGCTGACTTTCCATTTAATGCTCGATGCTTGCTTATTTTGACTCTTAATAAATTATACAAGACATAAATCACAGTCAGGGGCATGATGAAATCAAGTTATTTTTATAAAATAGCTTGTTTATATGTATGTTACTTCACTTATTTATTACTAAACAAAAATGTAACTCATTTGAGTTAATGCTGAAAAGTAGAATGCCTTATAGTTTTGCAAAAAACATAAATATTTTGAGTTTTCTGCTGATTTAAGATGATTTAAGGGTTTGAAAATTGTAAATAAATGTACTTCTTTTACAGGTTCTTGGACACAAATTTGAAGTTAATATTTTCTCATTTTTGCTGTATAATATCATGAATTATATATTTTAATAGCATTTCACACAAAAATTAATTAAAAATCTTATTTCATTTAAAAGTTGTTAAAACTTAAAATTTTTTGGCGTGTTTGATTGACACATCCTTGCACTTTCACAAAATTTAACTTTAGTCTTAAACCTTGGGAAGAGTGGCAATTTTTTGGTGTGTTTTGATGAGAAATATTAAAACATTTATCAGGAAAAATAATTTTATTCAGAGTAGAAATGTTAGAAAGCAAAACACCTTCACAAGTATCGTCATTCCGAACTAAGAGATGCGTACAGAGCTTAGCAAATCGAGCACACTCGTGTTATGTACACAGTTTTTGTAAACAGGGTTCGAGTTCTATTATTGTTTATATTTAGAATTCTCCGGGTGCTTTCAATCGTCACAGTCTGCTTACCACAACTGCACGGACTGACAATATATTGTGTGTTTGTTTTGCTTTCGAACATGTCTACTCTGAATTTTCTGGATTATAGTGTTAATATTTTTCATTTATACAAAACGAAATTGCCACTTTTCCTAAGGATTAAGAATAAAGTTAAATTTGTGAAAGTGCAAGGATATGTCAATCAAACTCGCCGAAAATTTTGAAATTTCAATATCTTTTAAAGGAAAAAAGATTTTTAATTAATTTTTGTGTGAAATGCTATTAAAATATATAATTCGTAATATTATAGAGAAAATGATAACTTCAAATCTGTGTCCAAGTACCTTTCATAGACTCAACAAACTTAATATGTCATGAACAGATATCATGATATAAACAAAATAACATATTTTTCAAGGAAAAAAATTCCATTTTAATTTCATTAACATTTCAGAGGTCAATTACACATCTTCCGCCAATTTTGCCAACATTGAGACTAATTTTCCTAAAATCTTTGGATATTACTTTGGATATTATTTTTGTGCAAGAGTTTTAAGGTGAAATGGGTTACAGTGCAGGGAAATAATTTTGTTACAGCATCAATGCTAATTTTGGTGCTTCCTATGCTTGCTGATTTTGATGCTTACTTTGCTTACTGATTTTGATGCTAGTTATCCTTATCATGATCCTGGTTTGATCATTATCCTGATGCTGGTTTGAAACTTGGTCAATGCTAGTAATGCTACCGGAAGTAGGATTATCCTGCCGGAAGTGGATAATTTAAAAACAGCATCGCTATTTTAAGCCATTGAAATTAATTTTTGGGGTAATTTTTATTTGTTATTTGTATTAAATGACTTTCCTTTATCTGTTTTCACTTTGGTCAATGCTAGTTCTATCCTTTGCTTGCTGATGCTGATCCAAGTAATGCTGTTTTTTTAAATGCTGATGCTGATGCTAGTTCTATCCTGATCCTACTTATGCTGATTCTGATGCTGGTTTATGTAACAAAATTAGTTCCCTGCACTGTAAGGATGAAATAATTGAAATAAGTTATTATTTGTTGCATTTCAATGTGTTAAATATTAAATATAGATGACTTTTACTGTCATGAACATTTCCCATCTACGTAATAACTTAAGCACAGCATGAATAAAGTTATTCAGATGCCAGCAGTCGCGTATTACGGACAGTCTTCATTTAGGAAATAAATAAAAGAATGTCAATATACAAGGTCATTCATTAAAATATTCTTGACAATTCAGTTTTCAATAATAAGACAGTAACATACATGTACACAGCTTAAAGAAACCAAAATACACTTTTACTTTCTCGATCAGTCATCTCGTTTTCGTTTTCGTGATGTCCATCCTAGTTCACTGATCACAACCTTTCTGTCTATAAATGTCAATGCATTGCAAATCTTCTGTCGGCTAAGCATGTAACGACATTCCTCCTGTATTTTTATAAGTGATTTATATATTTTATCCTGTATCTTAAAACCATCTGCTTCCATTTGTTCGATATATCTTTGAGCAAGCCCCAAAAAGCGGACGAAATGAGTGTAGTCTTTTGAAAGATATTCGGACAATGTTTTGAATTCCGTTGTTGAAACATTCTGATCAGGGCTAATCACGCCAATACAGGTAAAGTCTGTAATATCAAATGTTCTAACGTATTCCGCTGCTTGTCCTTGGCCTTCTCTCTGTAAAATGCTCTCTAATTCTCTCAAGTGATCAAGGTGTGCATTTTTTGATTTCCATTGGTACAAGATTCTGAATACCTTCTCCTCAAAACTGAGTGTAGGGGAGACATCAATACTGACTTCAAATAGACCCTCTAAAAGACTGATTCCTATGCCTCGGATTTTTCTTGTAACTGCATTAAGAACCAGTTCTACAGCTGGAATATAAGAATATGCAATGTATGTATGTAATATAAGACATTGCAATGTCAAGTTCAGATTATAATTACCTTGCAGTTTTAAAATTCTCTTTATATTGCGTACATAGCATAAATTAATATCTCGCGGAAAAATTTACTTCTACAGTAACCTAGAGTAATCGATCCCAAAGTCCATATTGGATTATTACAATTTGCTTTAGTACATTTCGCGTCGAAATCATGTCAGAATGTAACACAAAATGCAACACACCTTCTTAGGATTATTACATTTTGCTTCTCTTTCTCTCCAGTAATAAACCGGATTGGTTCTGCTTTTCATACTAATACAATGGTCAACATACAAAGTAAAAACCCACCCAATCCCTGCACCTCGTCGCTAGACAAACACACACATTCACTTCTAATTTGCTTACCAATGTACACATGCCAAACATGCATATCAAGAGTTTTTAATGGACCTATGGTCAATCTTTGGTATTTGAAAATAGTTAGATATTTAATAAGACTGATTTATAAACAAGAGGCCCAGGGGCCACATCGCTCACCTGAGCACATCGGCTAGGAAAAAGTACAAATTAGATTAGAATTGAAAAGTTTACTGAGGGGTGGGGGGGGAGGACCTGAATTCTAATACTACTTGAGAATGCCAGTATATCAATTCTGCATATAGCTTCTTGAGAAAGAGATTTTTATAGATTTATTTTTTGAAACATTTTGTTTGAATATTTTACTTTGTAATAATTTGAAATTGACTCCCTATCGTTTCTTCCCCTATCCCAAAGGTACTCATGATTTGAACAAAATTAAATCTACAATACATGATGATGCTTACATGTCAATATGACTCAACATAACTTTTCTATTATGATTTTCGAGATTTTTCCCTTTAAGTAACTATGTAAAACTTTGATTCACCAGTGAGACCCTTCCCTACACTTGGGGGTTATGATTTGAACAAAATTCATTCTACACTACCCGAGGATGCTTTCATATAAATATCACTAATTATGGCTTTGGTATTCTGTAGAAAAAGTTTTTTAAAAATATTTTAATGTAAAACTTGGATCTGCCACTGTAGCCCCAACCTATCCCTGGGGTTATGATTTAAATAAACTAGAATCTACAGTACCTGAGAATGCTTCCATAAAAATATCACTAATCATGGATTTGCAGTACTTAAGAAAACTTTGATCGGCCATTTTGACCCCAACCTACCCCCAGGGGCCATGATTTGAACAAACTTGTATGTACACTATCTGTTGATGAATCAACATGAGATTCATGTTTCCTATCACAGTTGTTCTTGAGAAGACGATTTTTAAAGATTTTTTTTCATATATATTCCTATGTAAAACTTTGATCGGTCATTGTAGCAACATCCAACACACCGGGGACATGATTTGAACAAACTTGAATAAACACTACCTGAGGATGATTCCACATGAGTTTCATCTTTCCTGTTCCAATGGACTGAGAAGAGTTGTTAAATATGCTCCTATATATTCGTTTGTAAAACTTTGATCCGCTAATGTGGATCCACCCTACCCCCGGGGCCATGATTTGAACACACTTGAATGCACACTACCTGCACTATGTGAGAAAAAAATTTATGCATGTCTTTGTAAAATTCATTCATTCTGATGTTTTTTTCTCAGAATACTCTACATATCGATTATGTTTATAAATTGTTACACATAAAAAGACACGTATTTGAGGGTGACTTAGCTCTTAATACTATTTGCAGTGAGATTGATATAGATATAGATTGTTTTCTTTATTTTTTTTCATACACAATCCCCACTGCAACAGGGTTATGCTTCTTATGGTGTTAAAATCATACTTTGTTAAATATACAAATATTGCATTTTTTAAATGATATATTTATGTACATGTATGAAATTGAAGCGTCAATGATTATATAGTACAACTGTAGTAAAATGTGAAAAAATTCTGTGATTAAATATTGGATATATATCTTATTATACCGATCCAGGGAGCACATGGTACCCCAGGTAAGGTATTACCAGAGGGCTTCTGTGGATTTTTTTTGCCTCACGGTTATATTGTAGGTTATTGAATAAATGATTAGAAAAAAAAATGTACACTATCTGAGAATGATTCAACATGAGTTTCATCTTTCCTGCCCGATGGGTTTTTGAGAAATTTTTAAAAGATTTTCCTATATATTCCTATGATAAACTTTTATCGGCTACTGTGGCTCCATCCAATCCCCAAGGGCCATGATTTGAACAAACTTGAATGTACATTACCTGAGGATGATTCCACATGGGTTTCATCTTTCCTGTCCCTGTTGATCTTGAGAATAAGATTTTTAAAGATGTTTCATATACCGTATAACTGGATTTTTCTACGGGGTGCTATTTTTTGCGAAATTCTGCGATCAAGTCTTAATCGCAAAAAATGCAATCGCAAAAAATACGTCATAAAATATCCCCATAAAATTACCCTTTTGAGGCCTCTTCATAGAGTCCGAATTCACGCTTCGTTGCGTAATACAGGCCTATCGATAATTGGTCAGTGAATACCCCGTAGTGAGCAGGCACTTCACGCTTTGCCAGCAAAATGGCACTGTTGAAATATTTGAAGCCAATAAGTAAGTTTCCTGACCCTACCGGACCTTTAAGTGAATTAATGTCGCCTAGAAAAATTACTGAGTATAATGAGAAAGTGGCCGAAGTTCTTGATACACCAAAAACTCCGAGAGGAAAGTACATGACTTTTTCACCGAGCGAGAGAGCTGAGATAGGACACTACGCCAGTGTACATGGACCTTCATCGACCATTAAACGTTTTCAGACAAAGTTTCCAGGACTAATTGAAAGTACTGTCAGAAATTTACGTGATAAATACAACACGGAGCTCAAATCTCGAAAACGTAAACTTGATTTTTCAGACGGCGAGAACTGTGAAATTTCTGAATTGAATCCGTGCAAGCGGGGTAAAAAAGTTTTACTCGGTAACGAACTGGATTCTGATGTGCAAACTTACATTCGTTCATTAAGGAAATCGGGGGCTGTTATTAACACAGCAATCTGCATTGCCGTTGCGGAGGGTATTGTGCGTGCCCACGACGAGCAGCTACTATCTTGTAATGGTAGACCGATTACGCTGAAAAAAAGCTGGGCCCAGTAAGTGTTGTTTAGGATGAATATGGTTAAGCGAAGGGGCAGTTGCACGGCAAAAATTCAGTTCACTGATGACAAATTTTCTGAAATTAGAGACGAGTTTTTACAAAGAATAAACAGTGTGGTGAAAAAACATGACATTCCTCCCGAGTTAATATACAACTGGGACCATATCGGTATCAATTATGTACCTGTTAGCACATGGACAATGGAGGTGGAGGGCACCCAGCGAGTCCCCATGATTGGTCTTGATGACAAAAGACAAGTCACCGTTGTTTTCGCAGGTAATGTAGATAATTATCAATCTTACCAAGGTATTATTTTGCTTGTAGTATCAATTAAGAAAAATAAACAGAACAAAATGAACTGTACTGATATCTTCTAATTCATTTTTTAATTATTTTAGGCACATTGAGTGGGGATTTTCTAGCTCCACAAGTCATTTACCAGGGGAAAACTTCTGCTTGTCATCCTGAGTATGATTTTCCACTGGCTTGGAACATAACTCACAGTCCTAATCATTGGGCCAATACAGACACACAGATGGAATACATATTGCGAGTTCTAGTACCTCACATGGATAAAACCAAGAAAAAGCTTGGGCTACCTAACACTCAAAAGTCACTGTGTATTTTCGATGTTTTCCGAGCGCAGATGTCGAGAGAGTTCGTGGATGATTTGAAAACAAAGAATATTGAAATTGTTTATATACCACCAAGCACGACGGACAAGTTACAGCCCATGGATCTTTCCATTCAAAAAGTCGTGAAAGACAAAATGAAACAGCGCTTTCAGCGATGGTATGCATCCTGTATTTCAAAGCAACTTGACAAAGGTGTCGACATAGAAACACTGAAACCTGTTGACCTCCGTCTATCTATTCTAAAACCGCTTGGTGCTAAATGGCTGGTAGAAACTTACAAAGACATAAGAAGCCAACCAGAGATGGTGATTAAGGGGTTCGAAAAAGCAGGCATCGCTGAAGTGTGCAGAAAATCTTAATTCAAAAGCTACTCTCTAACAGATTGTGAATGTGATCTAACACTGTGATTGTGTAATAGTTTTAATGTATTTATTGTATTTTAAATAGAAATATTTTGATGAAATTTTCTGAAATGTATTTTAATATTTTTAACCATTTAAAAAAAACTGTTATGTGTTTTATGTATTTTAATGTGAATATTTTTATGACATGTAATATTTTAAATTGCTTTAGTTTGTTCAATAAAAAAAAATAGACTTTATTGTTTAAATGTCTAGTAATAAAATTCAATAAATTTAAAATAGACTTTATTGTCAAAGTGAAATCGCAAAAATTAAAATCGCAAAAAATAAATATACCTATTTCAGGATCAAATCACAAAAATTTGCACCCGCATTAAAAACCAGTTATACGGTATATTCCTATGTAAAAATTGATCGGCTATTGTGGCCCCACCCTTACCCCGAGGGTCATGATTTGAACAAACTTTAATCTATACTACCTGAGGATGATTCCACATGAGTTTCATCTTCCCTGGCCCAGTGGTTTTTAAGATTTTTTGAAAATGCCATTAATTTTTCACTAATTCATAATTATCTCCTATGGAAGAAGGCGTTACCCCTTTATTTGAACAAACTTAAATCCCCTTTACCCAAGGATACTTTGTAGCATTTTGATTGAAATTGGTCTAGTGTTTCTTGAGAAGAAGATGAGAATGCGAAAAGTTTACAACAGCAACAACAATGGACAAATAGACATTTTGATCAGAAAAGCTCAGGTGAGGTAAAAGCATGTCAATCAAAGTTAAATTTAGGTTTAAATGTACAATGTATCCAATGAAAAATTCCTGAAACCGAGGCAGGGTTTAAAAACATGACATCTCTAAATCTAGTAATGTCTGTAAAAGACCTTACGTTACATTATTCTCATAGTTCCAACTATTTTGTAGAATGGGTTTTCCCATGGTTATACATGTATATTTAAGTCAATTTAATTGCATTTTGTGTAATGCAGAAATTAATTAACGCAAAATGTAAAAACGAAAAAGTACATTATTATATTTCACGTTGATCTCTATGCAAAATGTTGCATATAAACGAAAAATGTAATAATCAAAAAATCGTTCCATCACATTTTGTATTATAACATTTTGCGTCGAGATCAATGCAAAATGTAGTCATCACAGTGTATTATATTTGGTTTTGTTATTACATTTCGTGTTGTAACAAGGGTTTGAATTGACAAAACTCTGTCAAACATCTTCTTCTGAATTTAATGTAAAATTTTAATTCCCTGTTGCATCCCTGCCCTACCCTTTGGTCATGTTTTGAACAATTTAGAATCTACACAGCCCAAGAAAGCTTTCATATTAGAACATTAAGCTTTTCTTGCCAATTGGTTCTTGTGAAGGTTTGTACATATTTTTCTTTATATTCAATGTTAAACATGATTCCCTATTGTGGCTCTGTGACAACTCCAGTGGGTAATACAGATCAGCAAACAGGTATCAATGTTTGCAGCATTGTGTTTTCCCTAATTCTTTTTTGAGTACCGTGTTTGTTCTGATTTTTTGTACTGTAATATGGACTTCGATATTTTTTTTTAAAAAATACTGTTCGTTATCTCCATATCCTTTATTTTAAACTTTTGAAAAATAAGTTAAGTACATTTTCTACATGTATACGTAGATAAATGAATAAAATGTAATACATACAGGGACCTGTTTCCGTGTCTTCACTGGTTCTACTCTCAGACAGGCTAACCTGTTTTACAAAATAGAAAGGATGGGGTATCAAGTTAAGGTGTACATGTATATTTAAATATCCATAGACTCTTTCATAATATATATTTTTGTATTTCAGAGAAATAAGAATTTTGCATCTTCAAGAAAGTTGAAAAATTATAATCATTTTAACAAGCCATAAAATGGTTAACAATGTTAATTTCATGAATAGCCTCAGAATTACTGTTGTTCGTGAAATAAAAACATAACAATGATGAATGTCGTTTACATGTAGCTATGAATTAAATGGATATTGAGAAGGGAGGTAACTTCTATAACATAAGAATTCCGCGAATTCAAGAAACCGCGATCTTGTCCAATGAGAGAAAACCGTGAAAATTGCAAGCCGTGAAATTAATCCCCTATACAGTATTAGCTGGCATATAACAACTACTCAGTAATCAATTATTTAGACTTCCATTTTAAAAACAATCACAGGAAGTACAGGTCATATAAATCGGGCAATTCCATACTAGTTTTCTATCAAGAATCAGTGACTAACATCTTCAGATTACATTGGGTTCTTTTTTTCAAATTTTGTCTTTGTAACTTTTGGAATCAAACATTTTCAAATCATGTCCTCAAGGTTAAAATACAATATATTGAATCCAGAATTTTTTTTAAATCTAGTTCTCTACCATATTCATTGGTCTTTAATAACTATGAACATATTGGGGGTTCACGTGCCTTAATACTCACCTGAAAAACTTTTTTTCTTTTTTTAATTTTGAGAAGAAAATTTAAAAAAAACACTGTTTTAACTTGGAGACACATAAATGACCAGAATATGAATTTTTAAAACAAAACCGGGCTGTAAACAAATAAATAAAGTGGCAACAGCATTCTTAGGAGCAATATACATCTGTATAATGGTGTCTTTATCAAAAATACTTTCTGATGACATACCGGTAAATAGTTCTAAGTCACACAATTCTAAAAATAGTGTGCCACACTCAAAATTGTGTGACACAATTTGTATTTTTTAGGATATAAATAATATTCTGATGTACCTGTTTCCAATATTTTATGATATGTTTTGTGTTGATAGGATGCTTCTTGTTTGCTGGACAGGAAGGGCATTGAAAACTTGCTCTTGTTAACATTGATTCCTTTATGACAGCACTTTCTTTCCTGTCACAAAACCCAGAAGGCTTGTATATGAACCCAACCTGAAATTTCTATTTTTTCTGGAATGTATTGGAAAGGTTATCTAATATACACTCAATGTGTTCTCTAATCTGGTGACAGGTTAAAACATCAACTTCTCCCTTCACAACAAACACTTGCAACTGAATTTCTGTTTGAGTCATTCCAAGCATGACGTTATGGTGCTGGTCATGAAACATAAAAATAGCTGCAGTCTGGTAAATGCATCCTCTGTCTTCATCTGAAAAAATCTCCAAAGAATCTGCATGCACATTGCTACAAGGCGATGGAAAATTTCAAAAGGAAGAAAATCAAACGTGTAGCAGAGGATGGAGGAGGCAGGGTATAATGAAAAACAGTCTACTGGAAATTGCATCTTGTTCATACACGGGACATACCATATTTTGTCGCTCATTTTAGCTAAGAGTCCTAACTTCTCCATGTACATCATAATGTCCTCTTTATGTTCGATGTAACCATTGTTGTTTATTCTCCATATAGCAGATAGCAGTGCTTCATCTAATTCTCCAGTTTCATTGAATTTGTTCCATTCTGAGGCAAATTCAAATAAATCTTCTTGTGCATGGTTTTTATCTGTTATGACATTTCTAAATGCATCTGCAAACCACTGAACATCGAAAATAATAACTTCATTGAGGAATTGTTGATTGAAGTGTATAATTTCTCTGACGTCATGGAAGAACTGCAGCATGGCATCCATATCTTCAATATTATGGAGCTTTATTCCCTCTGGCAATGTTTTATTGAAAGACTGAAGTTCAACCCTACTCAAAATCTTGCGAATTTTCTTTTCCTGAAAGAATGTTTCAAACATAGCCCATGACTGTGGAAGCTCTTCACCCCAGTGATCAAGCTTGCCTACGACATAAGCAATGGACAGCTTGAGTTTTTCTATGCTTTCATTGTCATGGAATCCAACCGCAAATCGATGTTTCACATCAATATGTCTTTGCAGAGACTTCTTCTTCATGTCAAGAGTCTTCCAAACTTCTCGGAAAAACGATTCTTTTTCCTAACGAAAACGAATTCCTTATTTTATCTTATGCTAACAAATTAGTCATAGTTAAATAATAATGTTCATAATCATACATTGATTGTAAATGTTTTGTTTCGACAGAGTTTATGAAACACATGTATGTCTCTAAATATTATAATAAATATTTACATATCAGAAAAACAATGACAAAGTAATATATTTGTGTAAACAATGAATAACAGTTCTGAAAAATGATACCTTTTCTGTTTTGTTCTCACTATGTGTACCAACCAGGATGACGGGAGCATTATCATTGCCATATTGATGAATGGACTTCATCCAGAATTCTAGATAATCTGAAAAACGAAGACACATTCAGTTGTAAGAGTTTTCTTTAAGATAGATTGCAGGAAATGATGGCAGACGTAAATGAGAAACTCTGTATGTCAGAGCCATTTACAAGGCCGGGCATAGATGAAACAAACTTTTTGCCTTCGTAAAGCTGCACAGAAAGACAAACAAAATAAAAAATAATTCTCATTTAGGATAAAAGTTTCAAAATTCAATGGGACAGATAGGTTCTAAAAATATGGAAAATTTAATTATTTCGTTTTTAATATGTCAATAACATTTATCAATGCATACCATTTCATCTAATGCGGTGGTGCTTGAAAACGATTTTCGGGGCTATACGTGTAATAATTGAATATTACCTCTGTGTGTCCATCCCCCATAAACGGAGCCTTCCTGACAACACACGTCTTCTCCAACCTTATCATCAAAATTCTTCTCCATATTCAGCACCAGAATGAAGAACGCTCGAGGACTCAGAAAAATCTGGTGTGAGGCATAATATGAACACTGTCCTGCAAAGTCAGTCATGGTTATTTTTTTATCTGGATCTTCTGAAATATTTTCTGCACCTATCTGTAAATTTCCAAAAATTTCTTGAACATGACGAAAATCTTTTCTTTCATTCATAACGTCTGCTACATTTTCTGGTGATGTGGCCCCCTGTAGTTCATGCGATGAGGTTGTTTTAATGTTGGTATCATCATGTGATATCTGTCCACTGCTTGATGATGCAGTCGTACTGCCCTCATCATCTTTTGGTTCCATCTTTTCCTGCATTTCCCCAACATCAGCTGCATTTTTTGAATGAGATTCAGGAACACTCTGGTGAAGATCTTTTTTATCAAGTTGAAGTTTAAAGCGTTGTTGTTTGCTTAAACAATTTGCTGAAAATAAAAATGAATACACATTTAACACCGTCTCATTTTGTTGACACTGTTCTGTGAGCAAATATACTTTTATTCTACTTAATATAAATCTGCAAGGCACAAAATAAAATCTAGAGGTACTGAGAGTATTGAGCTCACAAAATAATATCCCTAGGTGAGTTCCATATGAGTAATTGAGTATGATGCTAAATTCTTTGTTTTACTTTGAAAAACCAAATATCTGTCCAATCTTATCATAAAGAAGAAAGTATGCAATGACATTATGTAGTAAATATTGTGTAAAATTGTCTATTAACTTTATTCAGTTGTACAAGTTGAGTTTGTTACGACACTCTTAAATTATTTATAGATATTGCATCACGGTAGTTATTATTTTTATTGTGTTACGTCACTCGGACCCATTCGGAAGTTCTCAGATGTCGCCATTACAGGAACTACGAGGAACAGTTGCACGCGCGCACGCGATCGTCTGCCAGGACGCAGATTCAGCAGATTCGGGACGATAGAATGGTGGACGGTACTGGGCGTACTTCGTAATTCGGCTTGGACTATAACCGTGGAAGTGCATATTACCTCACCTTGTGTAAACGAAAGATGTCCGCAAAGCTGACTATCACCGGTCCGGTTAATCATGTTGGAGGACTTTTAGATGAACAGCGGAGTAAATTCTGTCGGTATTGTTTATTTGTATGTAACTGTGTTTGTTAACTATTTTTAATTTTTGTTTATCATTAAAATTGTTAAAGTTTTAATTGATTTTGTCTGGTGTGTTTTTTGTAAGTGTGTCACAGCGAGCTAGAAATAGATTTGTGTATTCGGCGCACGTTACAAAGTGGGGGCTCGTCCGGGATAATCGAACTTTTGGCTTTTTGTGGGTAAATTTTGAAAACGATTTCTCGGAGATTTTTGATCACAAATTATTTTATTTGGGAATTTATTATCATTCACACCAGTCAAGATGGTTTTTAACTTAGAGGATTTTTTAAATGCACCAGATGCGCGGTTACTTCAAACATTTAAGAAAGATAAACTGTTTGAGTTTGTGTCAAAGTTTCACTTGAATGTTAAGCGCAGTGCTCGGAAAATAGAAATTAGAAATGCTGTTGTTCAGTATTTAGTTCAGAGAGGTATTTTAAATGATAGTGCATTGTCATTGGTTGAAGATTTGAAATCTAGTGAAATTGAAAAAAGAAATTTTGAATATGAATTAGAATTTAAGAAATTAGAAATTGAACAAGAGAGAGAAAGGCAGGCATTTGAAAGAGAAAAGAGAGAATATGAAAAAGAGAAAAGTGCGCAAGATCGAGAACATGAGTTACAGATTAAGAAATTAGAATTCGCGACTCAAAAGATAAAACATGAGTTGGAACTTGGGGCTAAGGCTAAATCAAAATCTGACTTTGATGTGACAAAGAACATAAGACTTGTCCCTAAGTTTCAAGAGAAAGATGTTGATAAATATTTTATTCATTTTTAGAAAATAGCAGAAAATTTGAAATGGCCAAAAGAATTCTGGCCACTATTGTTACAGAATGCATTTGTTGGGAAAGCCAGGGAAGTCTACAGTGCATTGTCACTTCAGCAAAGTACAGATTATGATGTTATTAAGAAAAATGTCTTAAAAGCATATGAACTTGTACCAGAAGCCTATAGACAGAAATTTAGAAATTACAAGAAATTCAATGAACAGACTCATGTTGAATTTGCGAGAGAGAAACAGAAAATGTTTGAGAGATGTTGCACTTCTAAAAATGTTGGATCAAACTTTGAAAGGTTGAAGCAGGTCATTTTGATTGAGGAATTCAAAAATTGTATTAATCCTGAAATTAGAACATATTTAGATGAACAGAAGGTTGAGACTCTTGGCAAGCTGCGACTGCGGCTGATGATTATGCACTAACACATAAGGTATCTTTTGTTAAACTCAGTACTAGTCAACAGAAGGTGACCAGTTATGACAGTTCTCGAGGGGTACAAGACATTTCACAGGTAACTCAACCTTAGATGGCGTACTCTGAGATCAAAGGTAAGGACAAGAATAATGAAACCTTAAAGCAGGTGCCCATTTGTAATTATTGCAAAAAGAAGGGTCACTTTAAGTCTGAATGTTGGGCATTACAAAGGAAAAACCCTGTAAGTAATGATAGTAAGCCATGTCCCACTGCTCTTACATCTGTCCAAGGTAAGGTTTCCTGTAGTCAGTTTGAGAACACTGCTGTTAAGTCTGTTGAGCCAGAGTTCGATGTTCTTAGAGAGGAATTTAAGCCTTTTGTATTCAATGGTTTAGTGTCGGTGGGTACCGACTCACACCCTATAAGAGTTTTAAGGGATACAGGTGCTTCTCAGTCTTTGTTACTAGAGGGCATGTTGCCACTGTCTGAAAAGACACATACTGGTTCTGAAGTGCTGATTCAAGGTGTATAATTAGGACTTATAAAAGTTCCTCTTCATGTTATAAATTTGAAGTCAGATTTAGTCTCTGGGTCTGTGGTCGTAGGTGTTAGACCAACTTTACCTATTAAGGGAGTTTCTCTTCTGTTAGGTAATGATTTAGCTGGGGGTAGGGTGGTACCTGACCCAATCATTTGTGAGAAGCCTGGTCTTATAGGAGAGATAGAGGAGGAGAATAAAGAGTTATTTCCTTTATGTGCTATTACAAGGGCTATGGCAAAGAAACTAGGACATGCTGAACAGACGGTAAGTCAGAAGTTAGATACAGGAAAGACCTTGTCTATAGATCTTGATGAGACAGTTTTGTCAGCCATGTTAGATTCAGAAAGTCATGTTTCCTCAGAGGATCAGCAGTCTAAAGGTGATGTATTTGGTTTATAGGAGATGTTAGACAACAAACCTCTTACTAGAGATAATTTGATACCTGAACAAGAGTCAGATGTTGAATTACAAGGTCTTATGGAACAGGCTTTGCCTCCAGAGGAGGCAGAGAAGGTCCCTGTTTGTTATTTTAGGAATCAGGGTGTACTCATGAGAAAATGGCGTCCCCCTGATGCTTCAGTAGAGGATGAGTGGCAAATCCACCATCAAATTGTAGTACCTAAGGCATATCGGAGAACAGTCATAGGGCTTGCCCATGACACACCAATGTCGGGTCATTTGGGGGTCACAAAGACCTACCGTTAGGCATTGATTCACTTCTTCTGGCCTAAGATGAGAAGGGATATAGTTGACTATTGCAGATCATGTCATGTCTGCTAAGTAGTGGGAAAACCTACGCAGGTAGGTTAAGGTTACAATCAAATATTCTACTTGCATATATGATATGACGTCATAGTAAGCTATATGACGTTAGGTTTAGAAATAACAATTTCTTAAAATCGATATCTAAGATTGATTTGAGAGCGTTAAAATGAATCAACATATGCATAGGCATAATATATACGGAAATTTTTCGTTACTGGGCCTCTGTAGTTATCACAGGGATTAAATTCCAAACCCGTGACGTCATAACTGTTGATTATACAGTGGCAGAGTGAAAGTGAAACGTAACGAAAATTGATCTAAACAAACACTAGAAATCGGCGTTTAAAAGCATTTAGAATGAATATCATGTGTGATTCATGTGGAAATAAAGCTTGTGAATAAGGTATGGTAATATAATCCTTCAATTTCTTCGTAAAATTAACCCCTTCACTTCCGTACCGGTCAAATTGACCGGTGGCGCGTTAAAACACGACTTCGCGAAAATAAGATCTCCGTATCTATTTTGTGGTAGCATGAAGGTATATAAGTTATATATCATCTTTTTGGAAATTTTCTCTACTTTTAAAATATCTAAAAAGATTATATCTTAATTGCTGATATTTAATCGATTTAACGTTGTAAAGACAAGCGTGACTTTTTGAAAATGGCGTAATTTTCCAAAGCGATTGCCGATTTTCCAGACGATTGACAATTTTTTCCTGATTAAATTTATAAAGAAAGCATGGTATATTCTTAAAGCATATTTTCTCCACTTTTAAAATATGTAAAAATTATTGTTATTACTTTAAGGTATATTTAAAAAACAAGATTTTTCTTGCACTTATGTGTTTGTTCTTCATTTTATTCGTAATGTTTGAACAAAGCTCAGTTTTACGGTTATTTCTGTGTTGAAATAGGTACAACAAAATAAAGCTGGTAAAAGTATAGAAAATTTCCTTTCCAACAAGCCCTTACAGGCCTTCTTACGCTCAGTATTTTCTTAATTACGATAATTTGAATTTGTGACCTTCGCATAGTTTTTATGGAAAAATCGGTCAATATTTACATGTAACGTCAAGGTCGATATTGTTGCGTCTAACTTGAAACAGAGACATATAAAACCATGATTTATAAAAGAATTTGTTGTTTCAAGCAGAGACATATAAACCATATATGTCTCTGCTTGAAACAACAAATTCTTTTATAAATCTTTTTTGACCATTTCAATATTTTTTTTTTTACTGAAATAAATACATAATACAAAAAAATTGATTTCAAAAAACAAATATATACTATTGTTCTGTCTTTTGTGAAGTGAATGTTAATTTATTCATCTACATGTAGGCCTAATGATGCATATATATTTCATGTCAATGTTGATAAAAATTGTAGATTCCCAAAACATCAATTTTTACTAAAAAAAAAAAATTAATCAGATTTTTAATACTGTTGTATCTTGTTATCTTGTTATACTTATTAATTTGCAATTTAATTAGATCTATATTGGCACGAAATATATTTAACAATACAAAAACTCGCATTTAGAAATAAATACGACTCATCACTGTATGAGTTGATACGAATTGCAATAACCACGTGTTTTCCGCTGTGGTACCTGTAAACAACAACATGATCCGAAATCAATTTTCATGATTATTTCACGACGAAGATCATCACATCAATGAATCAAATAATATGGACACGCCTTTGGTATTAGCAGGTGAGAATACGTGTATATTGACTGAAAAGTTTAAGTTTAAAACGCATTAGTTTACGTTCAAAAGAAAACTAAATGTACATATGTACTAGGCCTAGATCTTTATGTTTCAGTGTGCGTATTTCGTATCGTTCAGCCAATTTTGCATTGTTTTTTAACTTTGATGCTTTTGACAATCACTCGTAAGTTCAAAGTAAAATCAAAGTTTTCCTAATAATGGATAGTTGTTTTCAGTGTGTGTGTACCAGTGTGTACATGTACAACTTTCACATTGAATTTTTAGGGTGCAACAATACTTTCATCTGTGAATATCCACTTTCTAAGCCCACGATGAACTATGAAGGTCAATCAATATATGTAAGGACACCAATGAACAGGTAAATTTTTGTTTTGGTATTGAAAATTTCTGTATTCCTAAAATTTCAAAAGATAAAGTCTAATTTCATTTATGTCATTCTCATGATATTGCATTAATTCATACAAGTTTATAAACATTTGATTTACATTTTGAAAAATAAGTTTAAAACACATAATACTTATGTTGCTTGATTATTCATACAGACACATTATTTAAACTTGTAATATCTATTTAAAAGAATGCCGATATGTGGAACAAGCTGTTTTTATAGACTGCCTAGCCTGTTGTATTTCCAATCTGCATAAAGTATGTGGTTAGAATTTCCATTTTCTCAATTTTTCAGGCACTTTCCAATTATCGTACATCATATACATGGGTGGTTAAACTCACTGGATGGTTTATCAACACTCCCATGCTCACGAACAGCCTTGCCCCAGGAATTTTGCCCTGAAGTAACATTGCAGTCTATTGTCTCCTTTCTTTTTACAACCCTGGCAGCCATGCAGGTATGAAATCTATGAAAGCTATGAAGGGATATAGAATTTTTAAAAATCTATAAAAGTAAACCCAGTTCTTGATTTTTACAATCCGTTCTCTGGGATTGACAATCTGTTATAACAAATTGCGAATTCATTCTCACAGATTATCAATTCATTCCCTCAAATTACACAATCCATTATCTCAGATTGTATAATTCATTCTCTTAATTTAAGTGATTCATTCCCTCGGAATGTAAACCCTTCCCATAATTTCATTTAAATTATTTATCTGTACATATTGGATACCGTGTATGGTAATACATGTTTAAAAAATAGAATATTGTAGTATTTTACATCCTAACTTTTATTACATATTACGGTCCAAAAAATACATGAACATTAAAATTTTTCAAATCCATGTGCTTGTGGAGTTTTATGAAGTGACTTTTACATTCGACAGCTGACTTTTACATTTTCAGTAATGGTAGTTGGTCAGAGTTTAAATTGTAAAAGTCAGTCGTCGATTGTAAAAGTAAGTCTCTTCATAAACTCCAGTACTGATATTTGTACAACAAAAAATCTTAGAGGTTTTTGTGTTATGTGTATATTAGAATAATTGAAAGTCCTAGAAAGTAAAAGTGAATATGGGTCTTGTGTATTCATAATATTTCTAGAATAAATGTACGTTGAATTAGTTATAAAAAAGGTAGGAAACGCCCGTTTGCTGAAACAAAATAAATATAACGCACTTATTGATTAAAATGGTTGGACGTATTTGTACATATATGTAATGAAATTTAAGAGCACATCTTTGCCAAAAACTGCGACAGAGCGTAAACAGAGGTCTGGCTTTAGTCAGATTGCCATATATGTAATTTGTTTTAGTTCAGTAATTTTACTATGATGATTTACTACAAGGTTGTTGAATTATCAGTCCTGATACATTGACTTAATATCATTTGACTAATTCATAATAAATACAATTTTGATTTTAAAAGGAAAATCAAATAAATGTAGTAATTTTAGCATTCTTAATTTTATCTATAAATGTAAATTTATATACACAATGACATGTATCTGTTTCAAAATACTTAAATCTTTTACAGGATAGAAGCTGATCACTTGTACTTGACAGCAAATAATAATGTCTTGGACAAGTCAAAGAATTCCCTCCAGTCTTACAGAGAAATGACAGTTGATAAAAGAATGGTGGACACAAAGTAAAACTGCTCTTCAACATTTTGTTGAAGATTTCAGTCTGATTTGGAATTCATCTTGCAGTATTTCTGGATTTGTATATTTGGATATATGCATCAAATTTTCAACTTATTGACTAAACAGTTTTGGGTTAAATATTGCCAATGCTATATTATTATTATTTCCCTCCAAGATAACATGTCAAGTCTAAATTGTATCCCTTAAGCTCTGTTATACATGTGTACCAGAAAAAATCTTGTAATGAAATCATTTAGTTTTTTTCTTGTTAGATTAAATCCATGAAAATAAAGATTATTTTTAATGGCATCAAGAGAAGGATTTCTTGTTTTACAAAAAGATTGTATACATGTTTTGCTAAGGGTTTGTAAGAAGCAGACCAGAATTCTTTGCTTGCAAATTTTGTCATTCGCCATTTTTATTACGTCAACTATGAAATGATTTATCCATGTTTGAAGCATTTCAAAATTGATATTGACTTGCAGTTTAAAGCAGAATTCTGTACTAATATGACCTTGACCCCCTGAGGAACAAGAGTGTCAAGGTCAATTTTTAATACAAAAATGTTCTTTCATCTTTATGGCCCATATATATCTTACAAACAACATCATGAAATATACAAAAAGTGTCTAGAATCAATCTAATACGCATATTCGCATACTCGCTACACTACATGTAACATCTAACAACATCGCATTGAGGGTCACGTCAGAGGTCAAATTCTATCAACCAATCAAATCGTCACCTGCAAAATCATCGAATATTGTTGAAGTGAATAAGTCTAGAGTGGTTCCGAATTTGACCTCTGACGTGACCCTCTATGGGATGTTAGTAGATGTTAGTGTAGTGAGTATGCAAGCGGATCTAACATCTAATTTTAATTAGATTGGTCTAGAATGTGTCCAGAATGTGAAATAACAAACTTGTATATAGCCAACAACTTTAAAATGATGTTGCTTAGCAACCACTTAAAGGTCATTTAACAGATATTTGAACTAAAATGATGCATGGATATTGCAGTTCTGATCCCTTCTTGAGAGTATATTCAGAATTTTCCATTTCAGCATCCATTGTGTAAAATTATGGCAGAAATATTGAAAAGTGTTGAAAAAAATTGATGAAACTTTTGCACTTATTTGACCTTTGACCTCCTAAAAATAGTTCTAATAAGGTCAAACTTTTAGACAATTTATCTGTTGTATGTCCCTTGTAATTTTATGACCTCACATCTAACTTTTATATGTGCTGGGATGCATAAATGTGTCTAGGATGAGTAAAAACTGAAAATTTCTGCCCGAAAATTAAAGAATTCTGCGTTGCTTAGCAACCCTTTTTAAGTACTTATATGCAGAATTGAAAAAAAGTTTATGTGTTTCATGTAGTACAGTATAATGCTCTTTTGTGGGTATATACCAAATTTCCTATTTCAACATACATCATACTTAATATTTAGCTTAAAGATTAAAAAGTATCAAAAAATTCCATAAAATTTTGCACTTAATTGACATTTGACCTCCTTTTTACTAATAAGGTCAGTGGTTGAGTATCTAAATAGTCATAAAATATCATCTCTAAGAAATTTCCTACAAAATGGTATGCATAATGCCTAGCTCTCTCCTTGGATAAAAAAGTTAGAAATAATTTAAAAATGCCATGTCAAAAGGCCTCCAAAATCACGTAAAATGCGCCGGAAGAGAAAGGGTTAAAGCAGGGAGGGTGTTTACTTGACGATCAGCCTTTCCGCTGTCGTTTGTAACGAAAAAGATGCAAAAGTTCAACACTACGCCGCATACCTTGACACTTCATTTTTGTTTCCACCTAAATTCTTATTCTATTGTTTTTGGAAAGTGCTGCTAGAATCGTATGGTTTACGGGAATTGATGCATTTTTTTCGATGTTATGATCAAAATGTAAAAATATTGGGAAGGTTTCGTCCGAAAATGTTTGATAATTATTTCTGTGATAGGACAGTAGGATTCTAGCAGCACTTTTCATGGTACAGAGATGTTTTAACGTAGCTATTATTACAAATTATAATTAAAACTTGATATCTCCGGGGTAGTGTTAAACTTTTCACTTTTTCATTAAGGTATATTTTCTAATTATAGACATCACGTGGTGACGTCATGGTGAAGTGCTTATACTGTAGTATAAGTTCCATATTGAAGTCTTTAGAATGCATAGTTAAAGCAAACGTTTTATCCTTTGCTTTTACGATTTATTAGTGTTACACAATTATCAAAAAGTGTTAAATTGCCGAATTCTGATCCATGTGCTGCCTTAACATACCCGCGTAATCCAAAAATCCCTCCTGCTGCTTTATAGCCTATCCCTGCTTTTGATGAACCATTTACCAAGATCATTATAGATCGTGTGGGTCCCTTACCTAAAACCAAAGCTGGTAATCAGTACTTGTTGACAATAATGTGTGCGTCGACACGCTTCCCTGAAGAAATTCCCCTGCGAAACATAAAGTCTAGAACCATTGTCAATGCTTTGACCAAGTTTTTCACCAATTTTGGTTTGCCCCAGTCAGTACAGTCTGATCAAGGTTCCAATTTCACATCCCAGGTCTTTAAACAGGTAATGCAGGAGTTAGGGGTTAAGCACCATACATCTAGTGCATACCATCCAGAGTCCCAGGGGGCTCTTAAGAGGTTTCATCAAACCTTTAAAACTATGATTCGAACCTATTGTTTGTCGAATGAGAAAGAGTGGGACCAGGGAATCCCCTTTCTTTTATTTGCTGTTAGGGATGCAAAACAACAATCACTAGGTTTTAGTCCCTTTGAACTTGTATATGGTCACACTGTGAGAGGACCATTGAAACTGCTAAAAGAGAAATGGTTGGTTGAAGAGAGTGAGACAAATCTATTAGATTATGTAGCTAAGTTCAAAGAGAGGCTCAGTCAAACTTGGACACTAGCCAGAGAGAATCTAAAGGTAAGTCAAGACAAAATGAAAACCTGGTATGACAAACGTTCAAAAATTAGAACATTTCAGTCAGGAGACAAAGTCCTTGTCTTGCTACCAATCCCAGGTCAGCCTTTACGTGCTAAATACTTTGGCCAATTTGAAGTTGAAAGAAAGGTAAATGACCTGAATTACATTATTAAGACGCCAGGTCGACGCAAGAGCAAACAGCTCTACCACATCAACATGATCAAACAGTATCATAATCGAACTGACATAGATCACCCTAAAGTAGAATCAGTCGCTGCTTCAAGCACTGAAGTTAAGTCTACCCCGGAACAAGACCAACTTGCACACGAGTATGATCAGTCTATTCCAAAGTTGAAAGACTCAGATGTTTTGTCAGACTTAGAGTCTATACTTAACTACTTGTAAGAGAATGAAAAAGAAGAGCTTATGTTTCTTATACAAGAATTTACACATTTATTCCCGGATGTTCCTAAAAAGACCAATCTTGTATATCATGATATAGATGTGTGGGATGCATCTCTCATTAAACAACATCCTTACAGAATGAACCCTGTAAAACAAGAGCACTGTAATGCGGAACTGGCTTATATGTTAGAACATGACATAATTGAGTACAGTAACAGCCCTTTGAGCTCCCCTTGTCTCCTTGTTCCCAAGCCAGATGGGTCGTTCAGATTCTGTACTGACTTCTGCAAGGCCAACACAATTACCAAAACTGACTCTTACCCAATTCCCAGAATTGAAGACTGCATCGATAAAATTGGTCAGGCCAAATACGTAAGTAAATTCGATCTTTTGAAAGGGTATTGGCAGGTCCCACTGACCGAGAGAGCGAAAGAGATTTCAGCTTTCGTTTACCCCAAAAGGTTTCTACCAATATAAGGTGATGCCTTCTGGGTTAAAAAATGCACCTGGAACCTTTCAAAGGATGATCAATCATTTACTTAGAGATGTAGATGCAAGTGAGGCATACATTGATGATGTCATAGTGTATAGTAACACTTTTCAGGAGCATTTGTCACACATAAGGGCATTATTTGTTAAACTTTCAGAGGCAAATTTGACTGTAAGCCTAACAAAAACAGAATTTTGTCATGCTGCTGTTGAATATTTAGGCCATATTGTTGGTAACGGCCATGTTAGACCAGTGTTTGCAAAGGTTGAGGCAATTGTAAATTTTCCAGCACCTCAGTGTAAGAAAGAACTGATGAGATTCTTGGGAATGGCGGGATACTATCGAAAATTTTGCCCTAACTTTTCGACCATTGCTAACCCATTGACCTGTCTCTTGAAAAAGAATAGTGAATTTATTTGGGATGAATCATGCCAACAGGCCTTCCAACAAATCAAAACAATTCTCATGGTCTCTCCAGTTCTTTCATCACCAGATTTTGATAAAGAATTTTTGTTGTAAATTGATGCTAGTGATGTGGGTTGTGGGGCAGTTTTGTTACAAGAAGATGAAAATTATGTTTGTCATCCTGATGCTTATTTTTCTAAAAAGTTTTCCAAATGTCAGAAAAAATTATTCAACTGTAGAAAAAGAGTGTTTGTCCATGTTATTAGCATTGCAACATTTTGATGTGTATGTGAATTCATCTGTACATCCAGTTGTTGTTTTCACTGACCACAATCCACTCACATTTGTTCACAAAATGAAAAACAAGAATCAAAGGCTAATGAGATGGAGTTTGGAATTACAAGATAAAAATATTGTCATAAAGCATATTAAAGGAAAAGAGAATTTGATTGCAGATGCATTGTCCAGAGTACATGTTGATTAAAATGTTATATTATTGAAATGTATGTAAATTCTGTGAAATCGTATTGTTTCATTGTAATTCTAAAAGTTTTCATTGCACTCAAACTTTTCTTTAAGGGGGGAGGTGTTACGGTGCACTCTAAAATTATTTATAGATATTGCGTCACGGTAGTTATTATTTTTATTGTGTGACGTCACTCGGACCCATTCGGAAGTTCTCAGATGTCGCCATTACAGGAACTACGAAGAACAGTTGCACGCGCACACGCGATCGTCTGCCAGGACGCAGATTCAGCAGATTCGGGACGATAGAATGGTGGACGGTACTGGACGTACTTCGTAATTCGGCTTGGACTATAACCGTGGAAGTGCATATTACCTCACCTTGTGTAAACGAAAGATGTCCGCGAAGCTGACTATCACCGGTTAATCATGTTGGAGGACTTTTAAATGAACAGCGGAGTAAATTCTGTCGGTATTGTGTATTTGTTTGTAACTGTGTTTGTTG